TTTTTCGTTTGTTATGTCAGAGTGGTCAGAGTGTATGTATGTTTCACAATTGTTGCTTTTTGAGCGACTCATTAACTTTTATTGTATTCGAATGCATATGCATCGACGCATACATACTTACGTATATATATATGTATATGTACTTATAAATATGCTTTCATAAATGCATTCGAATATTCTTGTTGTAATCGTCTTTGGTTATTTTGCAGTCTAAAACGCTGAAATTTTAAAGAAACTAAAAATAAGACCAAAAACTGGACATTCATAGCCTCAGCCGATTTACGACAACTTTTAGCATCTGTGCACATTAACAGCAATAAAAAGAAGCAATGCGTTGAAAAATATCAACTCAAAATTATGGCGACATTATCTGCATCATTGAGTTGTTTAAAACGCGCCGCGTTAATCACTTTGATTCAGTTTATATGTACATTTGTATGTATGTACATTAGACAATATTACGATTTCGAACTCTTACTTGATATATGTACACCTACTTGTACATAAGTAGGGTGTTTAAAGAATGTCATTTATTTTCTCGATACTCTCTAAAAACTGCTGAAGGATAATTTTTTTTAAAGGTTATGTTGGTTGACCGGTAAAGTCCTCCCATAGACCCAAAGAATGGCCGTAGGTTTGGCCCAATAAATTTAGCACAAATAAATCGTTGCTGAAGAACATGAGGCAATGTTACAGCACATTGTCGTCCCTTTAGTGAATTGTGGTAGAGACTGGGGCCCTTTGTCGATTGCTGATTGTAGGGCATCAATAGCTTTGAAAAAAAAAAATCAAAAAAATTAAATCATTTTAGATTAATATTTTTTAGCTAACAAGCATCACACTGCTATATTCAAATATCAGTTGCATTCCCTAACTCACAAGAATTTGCAAGAATTTACCAGAAAGCATTTCCGTACTCGGTTCCCTGGAAAGGATGGGAAAAATGGGAGAGTAAAATCGGTCCTCGCTTTGTCAGAATTTGCAAGATTTTACCCGAAGCATTTTTTGTGGTAAAATCCAGTACTGTGTCAAACCATCAGCTGTTCAATGTTGTTCAATTGAGAGTTGAATAAGCAAAAACCGAATTACATCTGCATTTTCGCCTTATTAAATACATATCGAGGGCATATATGCAATACCCTCTATCTGCAATTTTCACAATGAACTACTTTGTGATGTTAGAACCCATTAAGGGACTTACCTGTCATCACTGATTTGAATTCTGATTTTGCAATTTAATAGTAAAATCTTCTGTCAAGCGTTATACAAGGTCAGCAAGGTATAGCAACAGTTAAGTCTTTGTATCAGAATCTAATTTTTGTGAAAAGTGCAGATAGAGAGTATTGAATGTTAGCAATCGATATATCGTAGCGAAGAAATATCCAGTTTTGTAAGTATTTTCATTAATTTGCAAAAAAATGGCGTCTACGGTGTATTTTACATTTTTACCAGTTTTTACCGGAAAAGCGTTCTCGTACTTTTTGGTTTTTCTCTCTTTCTCTGAGAGCAATTATGCTTCTTGGCAGTTTTTATAGAGAAAAGTTCAGCATCGCAGCTATCATATGGGTCAATTCTTTCCGTCCGATTTCTTGAGTTCAAATTTCGAAAATAGCTGTTACCGCTGAAAATTTTTCGAAAGTCGCAAAAAAAGTGTCACAGCCGAAAAAAGTGTCTTTAAGTCATTCAAATCGATTATACCATGTATGTAAAGACTTTCATTATTTTACCTTTTGAAACTTATTATTTATAAAATAATAACTTAGTGATGAAGGATATATTAAAAAGGCGCAATATGCATATTTTGCATTTAGTATGAAAACAAAATTGCAGTTAAAAAAGTACTTTAGTCATTAAATAAATAATAAATTTAACAAAAATAAATTGGGGGAAATGCTAAGCTACAAAAACGCATGCTACTTCTGGACATTTATTCGGAAAAGTTTTGACATAATAAAAGGGTTGAACTCAGTCAAAATTCGGCCAGAGGTGCAATTTTTAAGCGTATTTGAAAAGTAAATACTAAAAGCATTTTTAAACACGTAAGAAAAATATAATTTATGAAGGATTTGTCAAAATGTGTATATAGAATTTTAAATCAAAGAAAAGAGCAAAAGTCGCATGATATTTTGAAAAAGTTTCGGTATTCTTCAATGCATTTGTATTTAATAAAGGCGAGTTTGAAAGAAAAATGGCACATTAGGCTCGTCAGCTTTACACAACGTCGACAACGAGCTCTCGGCGATAAGTGAGTGAGTTTTGCTGGTTTAAGACTTTGGGAGTCGAGAGAGTTGACAATCGTTAAGACACAATACGATGTTAGATTTCTAATCACTTTTGTCAGGGAAATTGACAACGAAGTTAAACATACATACATTTATATACATATTCAATCTGCCTTGAATGTCGAGGAGAGTCTCCAACGACATCTGAGACGTCTCACTGATAACTTATGTCACGTATACGTAAATACAGAGCAACTGGATTAAATATTGAAATCTCTGTACACAAGCCTTAAGACATAAAATTCGTTTTTCTTAGTATTTACTCTCCAATTCTACAACTAAAGATAATGACAAAAATGCATTTTCATATCTAAAAGTCTGTGATTGTGTAAACTAATTTCCGCGTTTGAATTTTATAGACCCTTCAATTTTGATAAGAACCGAATGGTAGTAACTTAATATTTACACTAAATTAACATACCTGAAAACATATATACGTATGTACGAGTATACATACAATTTATCTAACAGAGTATGTGTATCTACAATAAAGTCATATTTAAAATGTAATAAATGTAGAATTTAAAACTAAACTTTTCGTGAATAACATCTCATTTAGTGCACGCCCACACGACTGGGCAGCCGGAAGCGCGTTATTAAACAGTTTTGAATAATACTTAGAACGCACGCAGTAACACGCCGCATTATCAAACTCGTATCTACAACCATTATCCTGGTGAAATGTCAACCGCAAACGGTACACTCGACGTGATCGACGTCAACAAATTCGGTCAATTCACTTTCGACAAAATCGATTATTTCGTTTTCACAACGATGTTAAGCGCCTCGCTGCTAATTGGCATTTATTTCGCTTTTTTCGGTCATGGCGCGGATAATACGGAAGAATATTTACTCGGCGGTAAACGCATGAAAACGATACCGATCGCCATTTCGCTGATTGCGAGGTTGGTGGAAATTGTGTTTTGATTAGAGAAAGATAAAAAAAATGTGTTCAATTTACTTTTTCTAATTTACATATTTTATCACTAGTCAATTGTCGGCGATTTCAATTATGACAATCCCCGCTGAGATGTATTCGTTTGGTATGAACTGGTGGTTCAATGTCGTCACAATGATATTAATTGTACCGTTACTTTGCTGGGTCATTATACCTGTGTTCTACAATAATAATCTTTCGAATTGTTATGAGGTGTGTATGTTTGAAAAAATAGGGAAACAAGGTGTGGTTTTCATTAGAAAAAGATAAAAATCAAAATTATTTTATTTTACTACGTAGTAATAAGATGTAAAACAATTTCGTGCATTGGTAATTGGTGAAATTAAATACATACATATGCCACGTTTGTCAGAGAAATGGTTTTTGGGCCAGAATACGCGGATACTCCTATTAAATTAATAAAAAAAAAAAAGTGAAAATCCGGATTTAATCGGTACAAATATGCAAAATCGGAACACCTATACGTCCTGACTTTTAAAAAATATTCGGCGGGACTATTTTCTCAAAATCGGTACTGTCCCGCCAAAATCGGTACGAATGGTCACCGTAATTGTGACACTCTTCCATCAAATGAGCGTTATCTATGCACGTATGCATGAGTATCAACGTGCATATGTACTTACATATAATTTGGATAAAAAACTGTGTTATAAAGATAAAAATCTGGTATGAATGACTAAACTAAATTTGGAGTTTAGCTATTACGGATATTACAATTTCAATTACCTTAAACTTGGTGTGGAAATACATAGTCTTTGAAATGAAACCGCTTTTGAAAAAAGCTTTTAGGGTTGAAATCGAGATCCTAACTACTAAAAAATTATTCCCAGATTAAGGGGTTTTCATAAATTCATAGAAAGCTGTGGGGTTTATACACATACACTCATATGTATATACATTTTTAAAAATTATTTCTATAGGTGACAACTCTTTTCGCAAACATTTTCTTACGGGCCTATTGTTTTGGCGTTGTCGCGTACTCAATAGATTATAACAATACCATAGAAAATTTTCATTATTATACTATGTCTCCATTGTGAGATTTAATGAAGATTTAGCCCTCTGACGAGATTTGACGTTAAATCATTTGAGATTTACCATATAATATTAAATCTCGAAAGGCAGTAGATTTAAGTTAAATCTTCGTCAAATCTTCAATAATATTGATCAATAAGTACAATTTGTTGGATGTGGCAACCACAAATTCACATGCCATAAGTCAAATGACATTTGTGTTTTCAATATACAGTTGAGGACATTGAAATCTAGCCTATCATAAAAACATGAATTTTCGAATTTTTAGAGATTTTTATATTTTTGTTAGTTTGGGAGGAAAATTAGTAATACATACATATTTACATAACTTTGGTTGTAATAAATTAAGAAAACATTATATTAAAAACTAAAAATTTAGAAGAAATGTTTTATAGTAATATCATGCAGAGTCTTCTCCGCTTTCTATAAGTCATTTACGCGCTGCGACAAAAAATTTATAAATTTCGGTAATGGTTCTGCTTCGATAACATTGCACTGAACATCCTCTAGAACTCAGTTCGTATTCATGATATGCCAAAGGCCCACGATTGGATTTTCGGTTCCCTCCTATGAATAAGAGAGTCCTACAAAAATTTTTCTTTCCGCAAATGTTTTTTACCGTTTTGATAATTTTTCTTAAATTCGGGAAAATGATACGGAATATGGTTCCATTCTTTACACTTTCCAAACTATATATTATACTTACATATTTACCACGAATAAGAAGCCAATAATATTCAGAATTCATATAATGAAATTCCGCTTGTTACCTTCCTTTTATCTGTCTGTATATCAATGTCCGCAACTGTATTTATAAAATCATACATAAGCAAACGTCAAATATTTAAAAATGTGAACGTCAAGCATATCTCGTTGTGGTAATGGAGACGGTTATGATTTAGCAACTGGATTTATTAAATCTTAATGGATAAATCTCTCAATGGAGACATAGTATTAGAGTACTTAAGGCCAAACACCAAAAACTTGTGCACACCTTTAGGCACAGTAGTAAAATCAACTGATACGCGATGACTTTTCTAATTGGCGTGGGAACATCTTTCGTCTGTCAACCATATTGTAGTACATACTTCACTAAATTTGAGTTCTAAACATATGGCAACCCCCTCAGAAATATTTGCGAAATAAAGCTTTCATCAACCTGTTTTGTTTGACATCCATATTGTAATACTTCATTAAATGGGATTCGAATTTTAAACAGCTGGCAACCACCATAAACATGTTTTAAAAATAAAGCTTTCTAAACATGTTTCGTTCGATAACAATAGTGTAATATTTAATTTATCTTATTAATAAAATCAAATTTTGACTTTTAAGCAGGTGGCAACACTCTTCAAATTGTTTTCGAGGTGAAGTTTACTTTATCCTCCCCCCATTATAATATTTTCATCGGTGATGAAAACGAAAAGATTGGAGTACGTATACAGACGAAGGGTTGTTAGGCATCCGGTTTCCTTGAATCTGATTACATCCCGTGCTCTAGCAATGTCACCAGGTGGTATGTTCAGCGTGTCGTTAAACGGTAGGGCAGGAGTGGTCCGCATTGCTACATACATAGCTCGTTGTACGCGCTCCAGCTGCCTAACATGGCGAGTTTTTTCTAGCGAATTGCACCAAACGAGAATTCCATAAAACAGGATGGGCTTAGCTTTGAGCGAATACCAAGGCGAATTGACATATGAATACGCCGCCCCATGATACAAAAAAGAAGGTAGTTTCAATAAACAACTTTTTGATTAAAAAGCAGATTTTTGACAATTGCTCAGTTGTGAAAAATTCGAAGCGGCGTTACCCAATTGTAAGTTTTTTGGTGTGGGAGATTTTATATCCTAAATTTGGGATTATAAATAAAATAGTTGTGTTAATATTTACCTTTTAAAAATAATTAATATCTTATCTTAAAAACGTTTAAATTTTACATTAAATTCGATAACAACTTGCCAAATCACTATTTTAATATTAATACAATTAGTGAACATATTTTAAAATTTTTTAGTGGCCTCATGTCATCCGATTATTTCACAATGTAGTTTTCTATATCTGATACGATGATTCTGATATAATTCAAATGAAATTATTCATTTCGACGTGTTATTTAATACATATTGTCTTTGTCCATTTAACAGCAAATGGTATTTACTTTGAGAGCCATGGCCCCCAAATTTTTCCAGAAACACATATTGTTTTCAGATGAAATTTTGACACACCCAAAAGTGAAGTATAAAATAAATAGATAAAACCTAATTTTCAATCAAACTAGTTTGTGTAGTTCAGGGGCGTCTTTTGGTAAATGTTCTGGAGGCTGTTTTAATATATCCTATCTTATTATATATTTCTTAGCTTTTCTACATTCTGAGAAGTTGAGAGCATGAAGTCTAATGTTCGTTTTTGGTCAACTACGACATTTGATTTCATTTTTTGCAGTCATTAGTT